TTAGAATTAATATGATGTTGTAGGAGAATATAACATGAATATTATGCAGTTGTACAGGTTGCTCTATTTCTGGGCCGAATTAGAGATCAAAGCCGTGATATGTTTATAGAGGAGATAAAGTAAGTGATGTCATCTTCATGAAGCAAAAATACCTTTGACTGTCTGATTCATTGTATTTTTGACACACCGAGCGGTGAACGTTCTTTTGGAGAAAAACTTAAGGCACATCAAAGTTATACTGTTCTCATACCTTTTCTTGCCCCTTGTATAGGCATGCTTCTAGTTAACTAAACAACTGGCAGCCTCTTTTGGTGTCCCCATACAACAGATCTGTAATTGTTTTTGGCAGTGATTTGTTATGCTGCTTACTCACCACCCTCGTGTATTGTATTTTCCTTTCTTCAAAGTTTCACAGAATTTTAGGAGGAGTTACTCCTCTTAATGCTAGTGCTTTAAGCACTTGTTGAATGCAACTACTTGAACGTAGTTGCAAGGTATGAGTAAAAAAAATTAATGACAGTATGAAGCATGAAGACACTGCCTTTGACTCAGGAAGTCTTAAAACTGCATAGTTCTTCAGGCTGGGAAAGTAGCAGCCATGTTCTCAGGTTCTACCAAGGTATGCCTGTGTTGGGTACTGTTAGAGATAGGTTACTGGATAAGAGGGATTTCAGGACATGCATTGTAAAGTTTCTGTTCTTAAGCCAGCCATCTCCTTTTCATATTCTAGATTTTAGAGAAAAAACCTTTCTGAATTTTCAGGATAAAGTAATATCCTTTTGGCACTGTAAACACTTCTAATGTAGCATTCTCTCTCTCTCTCTTTTTTCCTGTTCCTTTTCTCTTTTTTCAATTTGTTTTTCTGTTTGCTAGAACATCAGCTTTTAGAATTGGAGCAGCACCTGGCACATACAGAGAAAATGTTAAATTCTTTGTTGACTCAGTTGGATCCACTATCAAACTGGTGAGTGTTTCAAAAATGTTTTAGTATCCATCTTCTATTAAGCGAACTTTTGCAAAATGTTAACACATTTCTGAGATACAGGTAGAAAATATTGCTTAGAAATCTTCCTTAATTACCATTTATGTAGCACTTTGCAGTTAATATCCATTCTTTCATTTATGGTACTTTCTGCAGACACCTCCTTTCTTTTGTTCATCAACATAAATGCCAAAGCTCAGACTTACAATCAGATTACTGTCACTTAACAAGTTAAACTGTAAAGTGGACTGAGGAGAATAATACTGAAAAAATACTTAAGCTTAGCAGCCTTTGAAAACCCTTTTGGGAATTACATTTCTGGTAGCAAAATGAATTCTTTCAATTTGCGTGTCGTTAGAAGATGAAATCGGTTATCAAGGTACAGCTGCTTATTTCTGTGTTTTGAAAAAACCTTTAAACTGAATGTGTGCATTGGAGAGAAATGTAACTGATCTTTGGTAGTGGAACAAAGAGGGGAATAAATAACATTACCTCTCTGTAGTTTTATAAGATGTTCTTTCTTTAAGAAGGTAGGGCCTTATGCATGTACCAGAAATAAAAGTATCCATGCTGTACATCTTGTGTAGTCTTGACAGTTTTCATGAAGCCTAGTTTAAAACATGGAGAATTTCATGATTGCTCCTTTAGTATACTTCTGAACTTAATACATATTGAAACTATTAAATAGTAAGTACGCTGGCCAGTTTGTTTAACAAGTTTCTGGTAGTCATAAGGAAGAGAAAGAGGGTAAATAAAACTAGAAATAAATGAGAAAATGGTCTAAGCTGAAACTTTCTGTATTGGCCGTTGTTCTCCTAAAACCAAAATTAATTGGGTTGTTGTTTCTTTAAGTAGTCATTACTCAACCTGAGTGATTGAATCTCTCTGAATTCAACAACTATTTAGTATGTGTATGTGATCATAGAATCACAGAATATCCGGAGTTGGAAGGGACCCACGAGGATCACCAAGTCCAACTCCTGGCTGCACGCTGGACCCCTCAAATTCAAACTGTGTCTGAGAGCATTGACCTAATGTTCCATCAGGCTTGGTGCTGTGACCACTGCCCTGGGCAGCCTCTTTCAGCTACCCCTTGGTAAAGAACCTTTTCCTGATACTGAACCTGATGCAGCTCTGTCCTGTTTCCTTGGGCCTCTTTTTGTGGAGCTGTGCTCCAGCCTCTCATCCCCGGTCTGTACATACCCAGGGTTGCCCTGTCCCAGGTATAGAATCTGGCACTTGCTCTTCTTTAATTTCATACAGTTGGTGATTGTACAGCTCTCTAATCTGTTAAGATCTCTTTATGGGAGAAATTCTCAAAAACTTGACAAAAATTATTGCTAAACTAACGTTTTTATGTACTGAAAGAAATACTGCTATCATATGCATTGTTACAAGTAATCATTTCTAAGGTGATCTTTCAGCTGTTGATAATATCTCTTTTCTAGCGTTAATGCTTTAGCTTGTGAGCAGAAAGATGAAATAATGACACAGATCCAATCAATTAGACGACTGATGAAAGAAAGTGGATTGGATAAATCAGAAAACAAGATGACAGGTACTTCCAATTTTCAGTGGGATAGTTTTCCAATTAGTTTACATCTTAAACAGTCAACATCTGTGATAATGTTCAGTTCCTGCATCTTAGGTGAAATGAGTGTAGAATTAATTTTATTCTGCAGTTGTACTATTCTTCCTGTTTGAGTGGAATCTATTATCAAGTTTTTTTGATACACTGTAATTTTTTTAAAAAAGAATAAATGCTAAAATACATTGAACTAATATGCTTTCAAGAAGCAAGCTTCTTGAATGAAAGTCCTTGAGCAACCTATTAGTATTGATCTAACGTTAGTCTGAGGATACCCACATGGGGACCTTAGAGGTTGTGGGCAGTATTGCACAGTTATACTGAACAGCAGATTGCATATTAGTTTCCTCTGGAATCTTATAAAAGGTAAATAGTGGTCCAAGAGAAATTTTAAATGTAAGGAACAGTTCATTAGGAGTTTGGCAATTTCTGCATTAGTTGAATTTTATTAAAAGAGAGAAAAAAGAAATAAATATCCTACTTCTGAACTGCCTCTAAACTTGGAACCTGTCCAGTAATTTAAACTAACTTTTTTTTTTTTTTGGTAAATTGTAAGATGTCAGCCACATTTGTAATGAGAAACTTGAAGATCTCCTTCAGTCATTTTCTGAACATTCTCAAGAGAAAGAAATGAATGACGGAGAAGATGACGGTAATGAAGATTTGCATGAAGATGTTGATGATTACAGAATAGAGGAGCATGAATTATGTGATGAATGTGAAGTACATCAGTTTGAAACAGATGTAGTAGAAGACCAAGAAATGATAAACAAGGATTTAATAGAATCAGAGATGGGATTGAGGAGGCGTAATAAATATGAATGAAATCTGCATGTGTAAAACTTAAAAAGCTTATGAATTTTTTTCACAATGTTGTATGCACTTTAAACTGTTTTGAATGAAGTTATGAAGTTATGTGCACTGCTGTATGCTTTAAAAAGAGGGATTAAAACTGCTCATATCTGATAGTTCTGCAATTGATTTCAATGGCAGCAAAGTTTCCCTGGGAATGTTTACATATTTTATCTATTTATTTTTTCCTATAAAGATATTTCTGTACTCTGTATATAATACACTGTAATCTTATGCTTCACTGAAATATTGGAATATCTTGTAATTTAGACTGAAAATAATAGGTGCTTCGTGTTTTGTAACTAGTAAGCACAGTACCACTTGAAGTGTGATTTCTTGAGTTCATTAAAGAGCATGAGTGATGAATTTAGCTCTTTGTGGAAGTCTTTGGAGGGAGGGGAAATAAGAAACAGTGTAGAGATGCGTTAATAAAGAAATTTCTTGATTGGGAGAGAAAGTTAGCCACAGACACTGAAATAATTTTCATTTGTTGTCTTGTCAGGAATGGTGTATAGTTTTAATGTCAGTGTAAACCTTAATGCATTACACTGGGTAACTTCATTTTTTTTTGCCACAGCTGTTACTGGTTAAACCTGGCAGCTGCATAATCATTGACTAACCACTTAGTACTTGTGTCCTTGCTTCATATTAAGGCTATAGAACCTGGCCTGATTCATTGTAACGTGTTGTTATTTTAAGGTAGTATTTCCAGATGTGTTAGTGCTTCTCATTCAAGAACCGTAGGGCTTGGTTGTTTCTTATGTATTGTGTCAACTGGATTGTGGCTTTCTAGATCAATGTTTAAAAAAGCTTTTATTATTATTACTTTTCTCCTTTGCCATCATCATTTCTATCCAGACCTTAGTTTTCTCTTAGCTTTTTCTTCTCTTCATGCACCATTCTGCCATGCTTCAGTTGCAGAAATCACTTCTGAAGTCGGTTTGCCTGAAGAATGCTGTTGATTTTTTGGTTTTAGAAATACGTAGTTTCGAAATAATCAAGTATAGCGCCGTGACTCTTACCTTCTCACACAACTCAGCCTACAGCTGTTCACACCGCTGCCTTTTCTCTGCTCATTTTGCCCCCTCGTTGCCTGAGCGCAGCCCGGGACGTGCTGAGCCCCCACAGCGCCCTGCGTGGCCAGGGGCGGGGTGACGGGCGGGACGCGGCGCCGTTACCACGGGGACGCTTGGGGCGGCCGCCCTCCTCCGGCCCTCCCTGGTTTGCCCGGTGTTAGCTGCCTCGCGTTCCGCCTGAGGCTTCGTTGGGCGGGCTGGGGCCGTGCCAGGCGGTTTGTGCCGATTTGTGTCGAACGCCTCGAGAAACGTCGTGCGTCTGGGAGGCCGCCTCAGCGAGTCCTGCGCGGCCGGCTGCGTACACAGTGCGGGTGCGCTTCCCGCCTGGTAAAGGGGGTGGGAGGTCCGGAAGGTAGAAGCGGGGTCAGCCTTCGTGGCTGTTGTCTGGGAAAATACGCAATGAGCTTCGGGTTTAAACTCGCTAGATGGAAGGAAAAAACAGCCCGGCAGGGAGGGCAAACCGGGTGAAATGTGAGCTGTGTTTTTCAGTTTATTCTGAAGGCTGTCATTTGCATGGATTTGGAAGTGAAAGGAATTGCTGCATCCCCTCGAAGGCAGGCTCAGCTGTTGTCGAGAGGGAAGAAATGTCAGGTACGTTAACGGAGGGCGTGTGCTTGTTTTCTGTCCCTACGCTGAGTTTTTTACAGAACTGTAACCATACGCTAAGGTTTTGAGTTCAGGTCTTCAGTGCATTCAATGGAGAAGAAAGCTTATAAAGAAGGTAATTCTGACAAAGGTGATAGTTTAATATGATAATTCAATATGACTTTCTCAAATAAAGAGGAGGATTTCAGAAAGAAGCACATCGACGTGCTGAGTACTGCCTGGAGCCTGGGGAACACAAGAACGAATGATGTTTGCAGCAAGGACTCAACCTGTGCTTTGTGCTGTTTCAGACTCCTGGTGAAACCGGTGACAGCTCTGACTGCGTTTTTTTATCCAAAAGAGCGATAAAGTACAACAGCCTTCAAAGCATAACTTCAGAAGGAGTGATTCCACACTGCCTTCGTGTGAAATAAATCCCAGTGCTTAGCATTTGTTATGAGAGGTAATCTTATTTTTCAGGTAGTGGCTGACCTTTTGAGTTAAGATAAGTAGACAGGATTACTGCAGCAGAGACTTCCAGGTTAATTTTTGAAAGGCTGACTAGAGTAAATACGATCTTGGATTATGAGAGCCATTGGTTTTATTACAGGTAAAGTAAATATTTCTTGTAACAGTTGATTTTTCTTACAGATATGGGTATAAAGTATGCAGTGAAGTAAACTTCATCTGCAGCGTTCCCGTAGCCTGCATGCACCCATTTAACTTCCATGTTTTATTGAAAAAACTTGGGTATTTACTCTAGCTTGTAAAAGAAACATCCTTTTTATGCCTGTCAGTTTCCGAATTTAGACTCCTTATTACATGACTTTTTGTGGCTTGAAAAATTGTAGATTGAAATGAGGTTGAGACTGTGTCCTAGTAAATGTGGGTAGTCTTCAGGACAGCTTTGCTTTATTCCTAAAGACTCTCAGAAAAGGCATTAAACGTGTTGTGTTCTTCTTTTTTAAAGGCAGTTGAAATGCTGCAGAAAAACTTGTGATTTAATGCACTGCAAAAATACATGAGACAGCACACTGTATGATTCAAAGAAGACCAGAGTTTGTTTACTTTGGTTAGTTTGAGGAGTAAGACTGCATTTTATCCCTTAAAGGCTTTTAAACATATTTCACCACAAGGTGGTGTTGTTCATTATGTGCGGATGCTCTGTGAGAGGTTCTTTCTTTTTTTTCCTTTTTCTTCCTTTTTTTCCCCCAAACATAAATACCCTTTTCTGAAGACACTGGAGGGTGGTGGTGCTCAGTTTTGAACTCTCTTTTCCAGGGGTATGCTGCCGGGGTGTGTGGGGAGGAAAGCATTTAACAGCTCTGTGATGGCTTTCAAATCTCATATGCATTAGGCCACAGCTGGAAGCGGGATGCTTGCACAGTTCAGGCTGCAATGCTGACATCTATATGTTAAGGTCTTTTAAAAAACAAGATGCTGCAGAACATCTGTGAGCCACGTATTTTTTTTTTTCCCAACTGGAAGGCCAGCTGGAGGAATTGCTCCTGGCTCAATGTAAGCCAGCTGTCCGTCTGTGCTGTGGTTTCAGTTTATGGACTGGCTGAGGGCTGGCTCAGAAACATTCCAGCCATCAAGAACCGTGTGACCTGAAACCTGGTGAGCAGTCATTGTATGATCAAAATCTCAGGAACGTGGATTATTTTTGAAGTATTAATAGCTGGTGTGGATGCTGTCTGTATTCTTAATAACAAAAAAACTTCCTGTATTGACAAATACTGAATATTCTTGTTTCAAGATCTGTAAGAATCAACTTTCAGTGAAAAGCTTTTGCTTTGTCCTTTTCTTAGTACTATCTCAGTCAAATACATACATCAGATATCTGGAGACGCTGGTTCTAAACCAAGGCAGGCTGAAAGAACAACCGTGTGTTTGTCTCCTGATCTCTGTCAGCATGTAATAATGTGTCCTTCTAGGGGTGGAGACCAGATACATGTGCTGCTCGGGGTCCTCGCCCACCAGAGTAAGTCTGCTCATGTTTTTCATCTGATTTCTTTAATAATTTACACCATACACTTGCATTTGTATTGATAAGTAAATCAGTGTTGCATGAGATTTATCATCTTAAGGCTGTTTTCTGTGATATATTTAAAGCAAAAATTTTCAATACATTATTTGCATTAGTGGAGTGCCTTACAGCCACTGTATCTTTCTACATTATTTTACAATTGTGTGCCATTATGGCCTTGTGTTGTTCATACCTGCATCAAAGAACTTCAGCTTTTTGTGTACTGTCAGTCAGTTTGCAATGAAAAACAACTGGAAATTAATGAGCTCTATTATTTGTAGAAGCAATCATGTTATAGTAGGGTTGTTTGGAAATACTGGAGGTAAAATTCAGTCCCCAAGAGGGTACCTGAGGTAAAGACATAAGACACAGAAATTCTTAAATAAATCTGTGATATTTTAATTTCTTTAAGCAGAAGTGTGTGTGTGTGTGTGTGTGTGTGTGTGTGTTTGTACACACACTGAAGTATAGTTTGCTCCCACCATGTAGTTAGCTTCCTCTGTATTAGTCTGGTTCAGATAATTGAGAAAGCTTGCATCCTGAGAAATTATTGCTTCCCTGTGGGCTCTCTGGAGTCTGTTTGTAGAGGGATGTTTCCACAGACCTGCTGTGGAAAATGGAAATAAGAATTCTTGATTTATGATCTGTTGCTTTGCTGGGGCTGTCTGAGGCTGGGAAGGAAGGAGAACCTTGCAGGGGCCTTTTGTGGTTGCTGGTGTGAAGGAGGAAAGCTCAGTGTCTGGCTCCTGAGGGGCTAATAGATGTTTCCTCAGTAGGCTGTTTCTAGTTGTAAGGAAACATTTGTGTAGGTACTAATAGAGTAACTGGAGTTTGTTTTTAATGTAACTGGAAAAATAAGAAAACGTATTGTTCCTAAAATCATTTTAACTTCCTGCAGGGTGCCATGCCTAGATCTAGGGAGGCTGGGAGATTCTGATGATGAGGTAATTATAAATTAATTTTGTCTTGAATGGTTTTTAGAATTCATGTGTTGCAAGAACTTACAAATACATTTCTGAATATTAGAAAAAAACCAGCCCGATTACTTGTCCTTTCTTATTTTAGGATGGGAACTCCTACATGCCATGCAGTAGAAGTTTTCCTCACACAAGCTCTCTAAATTCATCTTCGGATTGGAGAACATCATTAGAAATGCCACACGAGCAGCATCTACCATCTCAACAGGTCAGTCTCTCATAACAAATCTGTTTAAAATGTGCCCCTTCAGTAGTAATTTGGAAAAAGTAGTTTAATATTTTAGTATCATCATACAGGCTTTTTGTCTTTTCTCTTTCTGCTTCGATTAAATTCTCATATCCAATTGCTAATGGTCCAAAATAATTCTGTCAAAGGAATTTTTATTGAGAAGCCTATGGCATATTTTGAAAATCCAATGTTTGTTTAATGCCTGAGCTCATTCTTGTTGGTAGATGCATTTATTCTTCTCATAGTCACTTAAGAGATATATTTAGATTATTTAGATTAATTACTAGCTTTATTAACAGTTTGTCAAAGAAACTGAGCAACATTGAGATAGCATGTAACTTTGCTTTATCTTTCTGGTGTGTTAACTTAAAAAAGTTAAAAGGTAAGATCAATAGTGATCATTAAGCATATGACTGAAGAAAACAACCTAAACTTACAAACAGTTAAGTATTCTTTCTATGGAAGAACAGTTACTTTTGAAAAGGGAACTTTTGGAATTAGGTACAGATATTTCTCTGAGACTTTTTCTCAGTCTCTTACCTTTAAAATATAACTGTTTGGTATTAATTTTGAAAGTATGCTCAATTGGTCTGAGCACTTTCATTGTTAAAATTTCCCAATCACCTACCAGCATTATTTTCTGGTTGACTAAAACTTAATCACTGCAAATCTTAGATGCTTTATAAGGAATATTATTAGTGCAGATGGTTCTGTAAAGCATTCTGATTTAAAAATTACAGCACTGCTCAGGATTAGCATCCAGTATAATAAATGTAAGAGTTAATTGCTCAGGTAGTTTTCCTTTGTATACTGATCTGAGTTCAGTTTGGAAAAAATAAAAGTGACAGTTTTTTATTTGACCATTCCATACATCTGAGATTTTGCTAATTACTATTTATTTTCTCTTTTTGTTTAAACAGATTTCCAGAATGTCTTGTCAGATGAAAACAGAGGTAAAGTAGATTAAGAAATATACACTGACAAAGTTAACAACTGAATAGTAAACGCAGCAGTGTATGATCTGAAAGTGGAGTGTGTTTCAACATCTTTTGTGTGGCAGGAAGTAGCTTATTTAAGTCTTCTTAATCTGTCGTTCTACATCCCAGAGTATTTTGAAAATGTTTCAAGAATGATAATTAGAAAATGCTGACGTTTAATAAAACACTTTTCTATTAGTGATCCCTGCATATTTGAGAGGTTAGGTATCTGGAGCTTTTAAACTAATTCAAGAAGAGTAGTATCAACATTTTTCTGTCATTTTCATGCATTTTACATAAACTTTGTAATGTTTTATTTTTGCATTTTTATTTGGTTAGAGTGCAGGAAATACCTTAACTTACCAGTTTTATCTGAAAGAACTGAGTGGTACTTCCTACTGTTTAAAAATCTATTATTTCAGAAATATTTAACTTAAACCTAAGAACTACTGAATGACTGTGTCTGTCTAGAGCAGTAGTGCTGCCAGAGAGAAAACAGTTATTAATACATTTACATATAATCTCTATTCCTAATTTATTGACGTGTATGGCAGGACTCCAGATTGGCTGGCACTCGAAGGTGAATCTGCCAGTATCATCATTTTGTTTCCCTGTATGACCAAGTGTTTTCCCAACTTGAAACAAAATATATTTAAACCTGAAATATTTAGTAGTTGTTTTTTTTTTTAATAGAGAAAATATAGAGCAGTGTAGAGTAGGAGAGAATTAAAAAGTTTTGTATATAGCTTCATTCCTGCATGTTGTGTCACTTGCGTGTACTCATGGATGCTGTAAAATCAAACACTTTGAATTGCAGTAGACCAGTCTGTAGAGGGAATTTGGTTTGATTGCCCTTGCTAAATGCTGTCTGCCTGGTCCTTGCAATTTCACAGTATAAGCTATAGTCCCTGGGCTGCAAGCTCCAGGCTGTGCCTCCCTGTCCTCCACACTTTGTAGAAGAGTCTCTCTCCTGATTGACCTTGTCATTTCCTCCAGAGAAGGCACAGTCTCCTTTCTACTCCCTACCCCCTTCTTCGGGCTCCTTTACTTCATCCTGTCTTACTGAAGGTAACTAGTAAAATTGTGAATAAAAATAGAAAAGCATAAAACATATCCATCACAGAAACAAATAAAAATATTTTTCTGAAGAGGTGTTCTGAATATAGATAACACTGATTTGCTGCAGCTTCTCATCTACTCTTTATTACTGTTTAAGCTTCTGCATGCTGCCTGAAGCCTAATGCTTTTATTGTTTCTTAGAGTTCACAGCTAATGAGTATGTTCATTAATTTAGGCAATATGTATGGATTGTACAAACTGAGATAACTGGACTGGTAGTGCTTTAGCTCTCAGAATATCTCTGTATCCAACAAAGGTATTTATGCACATTTTAAAATGCACCTGTAAGCACTGGGGGAAGAAAAAGAAAAGACACAGCCCTGCCAAAAAGAACTTGCAGGTACTGGTGGATGGGAAACTTAGCATGAGCCTGCAATGTGACCTCACAGCCCAGAAAGCCACCATATCCTGGGCTGCATCAAAAGAAGTGTGGCCAGCAGGTTGAGGGAGGTGATCCTGTCCCTCTGCTCTGCACTGGTGAACCTCACCTGGAGTACTGCATGCAGATCTGGAGTCCTCAGCACAGGAGAGATGTGGACCTTTTGGAGTGCGTCCAGAGGAGGGTCACAAAAATGATCCAAGGAATGGAACACCTTCCCTGTGCGGATAGGCTGAGAGAACTGGGGCTCTTCAGCCTGGAGAAGGCTCAGGGATGCCTGATAGTGATTTTTCAGTATCTAAAGGGGCCTATATGAAAGAGGGAGACAGACTCTTTGTCAGGGTCTTTTGTGATGGAACACAGGGAAAAGGTTTCAGTCTAAAACAGGAGATTTAATTGGGTATAAGGAAAGTGTTTTTATGACAAGAGTAGTGAAGCACTGGAACAGGTTGCCCAGAAGTGTGGTGGAAGCACCATTCCTGGAGATACTCATGGTCAGGCTGGATGGGGCTCTGGGCAACCATCATCTAGCTGTAGGTGTCCCTGTTCATTGCAGGGGAGTTGGACTAGTGGACCTTTAAAGGTCTCTTCCAACTCAAACAATTCTATTTTTAACTGCAAATTATCTAGTTTCCTTTATATGGCATTATAATCACAATGCATACATACTTCAGTTGCTATACTCTTCTGTAGTTTTTTTAGAAGTTGCTTTACTTCTTTTGTTAATATGTTCATACAAGTAAATCTGTCTAGCTGCAGGAATGCTACAAAAGGTTGGTATGACTTTGACTGTTTCAAGATCTTTCTTCCTTTCTTTTCTGCTTTCCTTTATCTTGTCTGCTCCCTTTCTACCTTCGTTATGTCTTAAATACCGTAGTGCTAAATTTACAGTAATGCATCTTCTGTTCATTTACTTTCTTTTTGCCATCTCTCTCTCTCTTGTTTTTTATTTTGCCTGACGTTTGGGGAGAAGATTTTTCAAGCAGTTCTGAAATATTAAGATCACATTCCTCTCAGCAAGTGCTCTTTATTTCTGCATTGCTTGCTTCTGGAGTCCTGACTGAACATTCCTTTAGCAATACATTTTTCAGCTTCCTCAGTAACAGACTGTGCAAGTAAATCTTTCCAAAATAGGTCACTTTTGGAATAATAATTTGAATATGGTCTTATCATTCAGGGATTAACTAGTAAAGGGACGTGGATCCCCTTTTGAATGAGAAACTTGCCCTTTAAAGAACATTTTGAAGATCTGAGTTTTTTTGAAAAACAATTTTCTAGAACGGGACTGTTTACTGATGTCCATATCCAGCATTTCTACTTGACACATTTCATTTTGAGACATCTTATTTTTGTTAGCGTCGAGGAGATATCAATTAAGCATTGAAGGTGTTGGTTATTCAGGAAGAGAAGGAAGAATGGAGTCTTGAGCTTATCATCTTGCAACTGTTCCTACTCATCAGCCTCCACTGCAGACTGCTAAAATGAATGTAAAGTTAGGAAGATACTTAGTTGGCTTTGTAGCCTGTTCAGCTGATGTTTTCAGGAGGGAGTGGATCACCTAACACTCGTCTACTGTTGGAATCTTTGACTGAGTACAGTCCATCAGCTATTCAAAATCAGCTGTCAGAATTCCTGTTTAATTAATCTGTAACATCTTACAGGACAGCACCAATGAATCTTAACTTTGCATAAATGTATTTGGCTGTGTACTACTTAGGTTAAAAAAAACCAAAAAAGGCAGATTTCATAGAACTCTACGAAAATTAAACATGAATTTTGCAGTCATGCACTTTTTTTTTCTTAATGTGAAGCATAGTGTCAGATAGTTTCAGAAGTTATTGCAAATGGGAATTATAAAAATGCTGTTCTCTTTTAAGATCCCAACCAGAGGCATTTATATTGATTACTCTTTCTGTAAAAAGAAAGAGTAATCCGTATTGATTACTCTGCATTCTCTTCTGGAGCAGAAGACACTACCAGGAAATCTGTCAAGCCCTGCAGACAAATATAAACTAAAGTATTGTCAGTATGAAGCAGATATGAAGGAAGAGTATAAGCAGTACTCTGAGAGAACTTCAGAAAAGAAAAGAAACCACCTCCAGTGTCCAGAAGCTTCAGTAAAGGTGCTGGCAAAGCAATAATTGCATTTTTAAGTGGTAAATGTTTGTTGGAATTTCATTCAGTGTGTGGAGAGATTTGCATTTGTATATATATATTAAAAAAAATTCTTCCACGTATTAATTTTAAAGACATTTCCATGTATGCTTTTGGCATTTAACACTTAGCAGGGAATAAAGAATATAGGAAGTTTACTTCAGCTGCTCTATAAATGAGAGATGGCGGTCCTTGTAAATACGCTTCTGTTCTCTGCTATCATAATGTTTGCCCTCATAGTGCGTGTCTGGCCTGGGCATTGAGATTAGTGTGATTGATGGGGATGAGCCTGGAGCCTAAGAAGATAAGTGACAGGGGAAAGATCTTGGTAAAATGTTATTTCCAAATACGGAAATGCATTCAGGCTTTTTTTTTCCTCTCCCTGAATATTCTGTTGAATTATGTTTGTACCGAGGACTTAGAAAAGAAATAGTGAAATATGTGATCTGAACCTTTGAGAACTATTAACGCTGAAAATGGGCAGAAATATGGAGCTAAAAGAATGGAAAATAATATCTCTACTTTTTGTCTTGACCTTATGTAAGATCCAGCGCATGTAGTCTGCAAAGCTTGGACTGCAAGCTGTGTTAATTCTACCGGGTTTCTTAATTGTTTGTAAGGTAAAACTAAGCAACAAACAAGGGAAGATCAGGTTCTTGAGTGTAGGTGCCCAGCAAGGAACAGGAAACAGAAGCGAGCAGATTATATGAGGACTGGTCAAAGCTAGACTGTGCTGAGGGTAGATGACCACTTCAGAGTATTAATGACATACAATATTCAGAATATTAATGGCTAAATACACAGTTGTTGAGCTAATATGCTGTGCCTATTGCTTTCCAGATAAAAAGTTTGTAATAATTGACAATGAGATTATTTTATTTGCTTAGTGTTCAGTAGCATGAAGAGAGATGGTTTTGTAGAAAACAAAGATTTTTTTTTATTGCTTGGGCTAAGGTCTCTTTTGCACATTTTACTTAACATTTTAAAGGATTTTCTCCCCTTAGAGCCACACTTCTGATATTCAGATAATACTTGGAGAACATGCAGAACCTTTATTTATGGCTACTTCAAGTAAAAACCGAGTGAAGAAAACAAATTTGTTGTCTTGTTAAATGTGCTTTTATGTTCGATGGTGGGTAAGAATGTCTGTTCTGGTGTTTTGTTCTAGTATTACTTTTGTTTTTGTTTCCACTCCTACACTCCAGACTGACATAGTGATGTCGTCTGTTTTCCAAGGAGTGAATCCTTTATATACTGTTCTGCAAGCCCATCAAAAGGGTATTTATGTGAGTGGCCAAGTTAGTCTGAAACTGAAGGAATAGGCAACAAGCCTAAACACAGAGTAAAGGCAGGACTGGCCCATTCCAGTGTGTTTGGATTCAAGACAGGTGAATGCCAAGCACCAGAAGCTGTGTCAGTTCTTGTGGCAGATATCAGTATAATATCTAACCAAGAAAATTAATCTGCTAGACGTTATTACTATCTTACTAAATAATAAATCAAACCTTCATTAGATTTCAAGATATTATTTTGTTCTATTATTGAAACTTGTAGCTTTTCTTCCCTCAAAAGAAGCTGCTCCTACAGCAACATAGATAATAATTTGTCCCTGCTGATTTGTCTCCCATGTTTCTTCTTTTCCAAGTTCTATAATCCTCCATTGGGAGATACTTCTGTAATTTACTCAGACTGATTTAGAAGTCTCTTAGAGCCAGTTCACCAACATGCTTCAGTTCTTTCTCCTATTCAGACCGTATTTTAACTATTTTGCTGATCAAAAAGCAGCACCTCTGTGATTGAGATCTTATACACCTGATGGCAAATCTTTTGCTTTATCTTTGATGTTCTTAAACAGAACAGAGAGAGTTCTTGTCTTCTTCAGAGAGATACTTACAGTCCATTTTCTCCCTGTCTTGCTGCTGATTTTTAGCAAAGTTTGTAGAACCATGAGATTTTTTGAGATTTTTTTGTTGTTGTTTGCTTGTTTTAGTATGATTGGAAGTTGGTAAGGATTCAGAAGTTGGAAGGCGAAACTAGTAAGCAAAATCTGTAAGGTCTGTTTTAATAGAAAGCTAGGCTTACAATTTCTTTGCCTTTTTAATTATGATGAAAGTAGGATAAAGAAACTTCTAAAAAAGGCTTTTTAATAAATTAAGGAAATTGTTTTGATGTTAATAATTTGTTTTCTGAAAATAATTTATTTTTGCTTAGGGTTCACAGCTTGAAGATGGGTACAATGATGATCTTACAGCTCTTGATGAGAAAGCTCTCCTGCAACAATGCTATACAAGCAAGCCTTACAATACACAACACAGTATGAGGAAATCAGAAGCTGTAAGTGTTTTGGCTGTTGTTGGACTGTTAACTGTCTCTATACTTGTAGAATGACTTGTAGGTGTTCAGTAGAAGTTAGGCTCTTGATGATTTGGTCCTAGTCTGTAATTTTCATCATAGGGGTTTAAACATTTGTTTTGATGGGAGCTGAGTTGAGTAATCCAGCGAGCAATTTTAAAATCTCTTTTACAGTGCTTGTTATTTTTTGTGCTGTAATGTGAATAAATGAGAATGCATGTTAAAAATAAATAAGTACAACTAAAAAGACCAATTGAGTGACTTGTGTGAATCTGACTGTACTGTTCTATGTCTTCTAGTCTCTAGCCTGTACATGAGCCTGTATCCTATGGCATGGATTTCATGATTCTGTCAGCTTTTACACTGACTAGTTTCCAGAGTAAATGGGCTAATTTTCCTCATTAACTGTTGGAATGGAGTATGTGATGATAACCCTCTTCATAAGCAGTATGGACTCTGCTGCTGGCATTAGATCAGGTCAGCTGTGGCTTTGGATGTCTTCAAGCTGCAGGGGTGTATTGAATTCTACAGCACCTATAAGCAACATGTTTCTTTGCTGCTTCACTATTCCCTTTGTGAGGTACTTCTTCCTATTACCATTATTAAGCCTCAGAAGGCCCAGTTTGTGACTTTGGTCTCCTGGTGGCTGGCCACTATCCGAAGGGGAAAAAAAAAGTTTGGCTATGTCATCTTTGCCCTTTAGTTGTAGGATACTTTTAGAACACCCCATACCTGCTTCCTTTGCAGTCTAAACAAAACCAAACTCCCTTAGTTTCTCTTTTCAGTTTCTTCTGTTCAGATCCTCTGTTGGATCCTCTCCAGTTTCCTTTCATCCTTATTAATTCTGTGGAGAAGGCAGCCCCCCAGACTGGAAACAGATGTGGCTTTGCTGTTACAAGAGGAAATACTAACTTCTCTTATGTTGATGTACTCAGTATGTTTCTTTTATTATGTTGACACAATTCTTACTCTTTTTAGGAATGTTCAACTGGAGTATTGTCCATTTAAGGCTAAATTTTAAATTTGGGGTTTTTTGAAGTGGTGAAGAATCTTAAGATTTTAGGTACTGCTTGATTCAATATTTTCATGTGCAGAGTGATGGCCTTCATAACTTAATTTTGAAGGTATTATCGAACAGAATTAGTACTCTGACATCCTGATGGAATAATAAGCCACGATAAATTTTATGAGACTATGAAAGTAAATAATTTTTCATTTATTTTGTTTGTTCATTACTAAGCACTGAAGTTCACGTCATTGCAAACATATGTTTGATCTCTGGTCTTGCTAAATTGGATGTGAACATTGTGCTATTGATGTCACCATTCATTTTCATAATCAGAAAATCTCTTCAGAAGGTACTCTAAAGAAGAATTTCCTGTTCATTATTTCTAAAATAAAATCTAAAAATCTATACAATACAGTGGGTATAATGGGCAGGATGGGAAGGTTTGACGTACTTTTAGATTAATACTGCTAAATCAAATAAGCTGAAGAGACTGATAAAAGGAGCAGTGCAGGACAGTCAAATGGCAGGTACACTGCAGCTGGCATGCTTTAAAAGGAAGCCAGCAGGTTTCTGAGGGACTGTCTGAAGCCCTTTTGTTACTGATCAGCACTCATGGTTACACAGGCTGCCAGTCTCTTTCTAGAAGCATCTCTTAGGTTCTCTCATGTTCAAGATTCTGATAGAAGTGGTATAATAGAAAAAAGTAGAAGTAACTACTGCTTATGTAATAATTAAATGGGGTATGTGTTGCTTCCATTGTAGGCATTTGATTTTAAAGTACATTTAAAAGTTTGCTTAAGAATACACCGTAACTTTAAAATTTTTCTTTACTATGATCATTACTAAAACTTCTAATGTTAAAATAGATTGTCTTTTAAATTTTCTTGAGATTTGGAATGAGAATTATCTAATATGAAATACAGTAAGCATATGACTACCAATGGACACTATATATGATAAACTTGGGATTTTAGGGGGAAGAGAGTTATTTTTCTATCAACAGTTGTTTTGTGGACAAAAGAGTTGCTTCTTTTTTAACCGTTCAGAGCTGCTGTAAGTTTAGTGTCTGCCTTAGCAATTTTATAAATTCATAAAGGTTTTTGTCTAAGAGCTGAATGGAAGAGAACATTTTGTGACCTTCCAGTATTCAACTGAAATGTAAAGAATAAAGTTGAATTCTTAAAATTGGATTCTTTTAATAATGCTAAGATAATTTGGATCTATAAGTGAATCTGTGTTGTATTTCAAGTCTGTTCTGTGTAATAACAGTGTTCTCCTTTACATAATGCTTTTCAGTATTCAGTAGTTCAGTAGTTTGAAATGAAGTACCAGAAATTCTGATAGTTAGATGCAAAAATGAATATGGAAGAAAACCAGGAAGTTCCCTATCCTCTGTTATTCAGAAGTTTTTTAAAGTCAAATCACCAGCTGGTCTGTTGTTACATTATTTATTCATTTTTTTTTTGTTTTGGCTAGTATTAATCCATGTTTACTTGAATCTTTTTTACTTCATCTTTGTAAACTTACGAGTTGTTCTTTACAGTTACCTGTGGTCTGGGAACCGACCTACTATTCTTCAGTTGTAGGCAGGCTTGCTGTATGTAGAATTTGGATGGTACATGATAAGCTACACAGAAAAAAAAAAAGTAATCATAAAAATATCAAATTCTTCAGCTTCAGAACACATAACAAGTCATTGAAGAGGCTGCCTAAGCCCCTCAGAAAGGATAATCTCTCTTTTCTAATAGGTAAAATGGAAGGAATGAAAACAAATATCAATGCAGTGAAGAAGTTCAGAGGTCTGGAAGATGAAATGAAGCAAGATAGCAGAGTCTAGTTGTTGCCAGTGGCTTCCATGCTGACCTTAGACATCCTCATGTGCCTTTGGTTTCTCCTTCTGTGAAATGAATGATGACTGATAACCAAACACTTCACAGTGAAGGGCACAAGATTGTGGTTGAGTGTTATCCTATTCTAAAAATGGCAGTAAGATCCTGCTAAATCACCTTGCTCCTCCGAATATTTGTTCTTTTACAAAAAAATGTTTTTCAGATTGGCCTGTTTCAGCAGAAAATTGTTCTGGCATGCAGCAAGTATGAACTGAGAATTGAGACTATATCTTTAAAGAGTTTTTAGCTAAACATTGCTGGAGGTGGAACCCCTCTCTCTAAATGGAGATCTGTGTCAGCCATTTTACCCAGAATAGCATCAGTTTCCTCAGGCTCTATTGTACTTCAAAAAAAAAGTAATTGGAAACAACAGAAATATCAGAACTCTCATACTTACTGTCAGCTAATGCACAGACAATCTGAGTGTGTAGCAGAGAACAAGGTTTGTCTTTTAGTTACACAAATAGGATTCTATTAAAAAAGATGAAAAAACCTTGAAAATTCCAAATTAGTTGTAACATTCATATGATTGAGACCTCTGAATGCTGTCTTAAAGGCTAGTTTAGTTTTTGAAGTGCTTGTTGTTATATTTCCTTTGCTTTTGGTTACTTTTCCATTATAGGAGGATGTTGCTGCGGAGAGAAAGAAACAGGCTGTAGTAGAACAAGTGATGCTAGATCAGTTATGCAGGTAAGTGGATTTTTAATGTAAAACTAGAGCTTTCCTTACTGAAGAATTTAGGTCTATGAATGGCTTCTCTTGCCTAGGTTTTTTGATCATCTCACTGCAACTTGTGTTATGTAGTGCTACTATTTGTAAAATCCCTTTTAATGAAAATTGTTTTTCATTTAAAAGACTCCATAATTAAAAAATCAATTTCAAGTGCTAAGCTTAAATTCCTTTTTCTCTGAGAAAAACTGTTAATTTTGTACCTGAAGCTTTAAGTGTTTTTACAATCACAGAATCACAGAATGGCCAGGGTTGGAAGGGACTTCAAGGATCATGAATCTCCAACCCCCCTGCCACATGCAGGCCTCCAACCTCCTCATTTAATGCTTGACCGGGCTGCCCGGGGCCCCATCCAGTCTGGCCTTGAACAATTCAAGGGACGGGGCAAATAACAGTACTTTTCATAAATAACCCTCTTGTACCTCTGCAAGATATATGGATTCCTGTTGTTACAATTATTTTTTATTTTCTGTCCTAAGTCTGTTATTAATATTCTTCTACTAATATCTCTCTGAAGTTGAAGGGTAAGTTTATGTTGGATATCAGGAAAAAATTCTTTACAGAAAGGGTTGTTAAGCACTGGAATGGGCTCCCCAGGGAGGTGGTTGAGTCGCCATCCCTGGATGTGTTTAAAATCCATTTGGATGTGGTGCTCAGGGACATGACTTAGTGGAGGGTTGTTAGTTAGAGTAGTTTGGTTAGGTTGTGGTTGGACTCGATGATCTTTAAGGTCTTTTCCAACCTGAGCAATTCTATGATTTTGTGAAGGAGTATTATACCACTGTTAAGCATGCAGGAAAAAAAGGAGCAAATGAAGCTAACTGATTGGGGCTGTACAGGGAAGCTCTCTGAACTTCATTGCTATCCCTTCAGCTCTGAGAAATCATTGGTTCTATATAGAAAGATTTCATCGTAGGTTAAGGGGAAAAAAAAGTAACTTACCTGTGAAGATGAGTATAATTAAGACATCTTACTATTGTTCCTATAAATTTGTTCTCGTTTCTGTGCATGCTCTAATATTTCAGAGTTTTACCTAAGCTGTCTGGTTATGGTACTATGAGATGGTATAGATTGGTGTAACATAATTTCAATTTCACGTTACTTTATGCTTGCTAAAAATTTTATGTAAGTGGCTCCTGCTGTAAACCCTTCTGTTGGCAAATGTCAGAACAATATTCAGTAGTGCTGCAGCTGCATCAGGATGAACTTTCAATTTAAGAAATCTCTCTGTTTACCTTCTATATATAACCATGCCAGAACTGCCAAACAAATTGGTATCAGAGAGCAAAATGTTAATCGAGGAAGATTAGTTCAAAACTCTTGCACAACACATCTATTAAAGAAAGTGCAAAAGGTTTTTTGATTTGTTTTAATAGAGCCAATCTTGCAGTAAAATCGTTGTAACTGATACACGCAAAAACAGCTCAGTGTGGATCAAAGAGAACTTTATAAACATAAGTTGTATCAGCTGTACAAAATTATTTTTCCTTCTGATTATGAATTATTTCAATAATGAGAGTATTTTTAAGGGTTCTTTTCTCTTGTTTACTTGTTAAACAGCTACAGAGAATATCAAAATGTTCAGAATCCAGTTAACCTATTATCTGTGAGATGGGACTTTGAGTTCCTATAGATTGGGTGAGTGCCTTGGCAGTGGAGGTGCCTGTGTTTTTGTTGAGTGATGCTGCTAGCTGGTATTAGTAACTCCCATCACTGATTGTGGAGGGATAAAGAAAATTGAAGATGGAATATTTACTGAAATGAGGAAGGGGAGAATAAAAAATCTCCATAATTCTAAGGAAATAAAGTAATAAATGCATCCATGCAGAGTATACTTGTTCACTACCAGATTATTTCATATACTTGATTTAGAATAATAGATTTCAGAATTGTAAAAGCAAATAAAAAAACCCCTCAAAATCTACCAAATCCAAACAAAAGAACAACCACCAAACAAATAAAAATAAACACCTCTCTCCCCAAATTTTTTCAACTGTAATAGCTAAATTCAATGTGCTACTGTTGCATTATTGTGAGGTTTTTATTTTTCAAAGGAAGAACATATAAAATCTGAAGTACCAACTTAATACAAGTTAAAAGGCTTATACCTGCTCTTTTTCATCAGAGCTGTCATAAGTGATCCAGAACAATCCACACGAGATGATGTCTCCACAGAAGCTCATGGACATTTGGGACTTGGGACTGCACCCATGCGTTTTAGAAAAAGAACACTGCATGAAACGAAGTAAGCTTTCTCTAGTGGTTATTTGCTTAGAAATATTCTCTTTTTTGTTGTTATTTTGGGATCTGCAGAGTCTCTCTCTGTCTTTCCAGGTGTTTTATTCCTGACTTGGAACCAACAGCTTCATCTCTTTCTAGACTCCTCATTCTGTATAATTGCCTGGGATCTTATTTGTGGATTCTCTGTGTATAACGTTTGATTCACAGTATTTATAAAACATGGCAGAACCAACTTAATCTTATATTGATATTGTTCATCACAGAGTTTTGCCAACCTTTTTTGCATGCTTGAGATCCTGTCATATCCTTTTAGAGACTTCCATCCTGAGGTGCATGAAACTGCATAAATATACATCCATAAATACTAATGTAGATCTTCACAGTGTAATCATGCTTTTCTTCTATGTTTTGATTTCTTTTGGAGTAATTAACTGTATTGGCATTTAAATTTTATTCCTGGCCTGCAAGTATTGAAATCATAATTCCAATGGCTTAAGAAAAATTGGGAAAACATTTTGCTTTTCAGCATTTCATGTTGAAATGTGAATCTGCATTTCCTGGTTTTATTCTGCTAATCTTTTTCAACGTGCAGGCAAACATGATGGATGGTAGAATTTTAATTCTTGACAAGTGTTCATAAACAAAATATCCCATTCATGTCTATGCTTTCTGTAGATGTACTCTCATATGATGTAATTACAGAGTGCCTTCCACATTGCAACTCTGAGTTGCTTCCTAATTCAACTACAAGGATCATCTCTTCAGCCAGTTGCCACGGATACCGTATTTCACTTTTTTTTGTTGGTTTTTTTTTTTTTGCTGTTCTGGAACGGCTGAATTTCATATAACATTGTTCTGTGACCACATAGATATCACTAACATGCAGCATTATTTTTACAGAATAAGGACTAAATCAGGATTAACTGAAAGCATGCTGTCTAACAAGCTACGCTTTGATAGTAGGATTATATCCAGGTAATTACAATTTTTTTTGGAAACTTTTCAATTCTGTGAATGTATGAATAACGATAGTAACTCTTTTGAAATAATTAATTATAATGAACTTCCTTTGTTGTATGTATAGGAAAAAAAATGAATATGCAGTGTAGGTATATATATACATGTGCACTTACGGTACAAAATTTGACCTAGCTCAAGTAGTGGCACTGTACAGCATTAAGATCCATAAGTTATGTTATGTTACTGTCATGTCTGTCATAGAACAGTGAGGTGTCTGTGCAGGACAACCACTGCATATCAGTTAATGGAAAATTCTATGGTCTTGTCTTATGGTATGTGGCAACCACTGTGAATGGAAGGGATGGGTTTGTGTCTCATTTGTGGATTCTTGCATATTAACCTTGTAGGGTTAGGGCAGCTTTGAAACTGATCTGAATTCAGTAGTGGTGGCATAAACATGTTCTTCAGCTCTGATGCAGTGAACTGCCAAGGATTCAGCAGAATAGCTTCATATACCATAATAACTACACGTAGTCCAGGTTTAGGTAATCCTTTAGTTAATGAATGAAAATTACATTGATCTACTAAAGCATGAAAATTTGATACACGTTCTTAACATGATGGAGAACAGAATATTCTATGTGGATTTGTTCACAAATCCAGAAGTGGAATTCTACAGTGGTTTAGAGAAAGTAGATAACTTTTAAGAGGAAAAAAGGTTGTGCAATATGGAAGAGTAGATACAAAGTGGGTGCTTAAAAATAGAAGTACTACTTGTGTTTGGGTTGAGTTAAACGTGCGTGTATGTAGCAATGTAAATATACTTTTCAATTTTCCTTCCAGAAATGGTCGTGATGCTTGTAGGGACTTGATTGGATTCTTTTTTACGTGTGACAGATCCCTTACTGTATATGAATTCCGACAGTTTGGAAAAAATAGGTATGTTAAGTTTCTTTTAAAAAGGTTTTAGAAAATGTCTTTAACTTTACTTAGCAAACTTAACAAAATGTAATTGTTTTAAGATTGTTTCTGAATTATTTCACAGAACAAATGCCTTGCCTTTCATTCAGAAGGGAGTTTATCAACATCAGCGAGGACAAAAGAAGGGAGAAGCTTATGATCTCAGTGATTTCTACATCGTAAGTATTTTTCTGTTGAACTCAAGGCAGTGATGTTGGCGAATTTGAACTAATATTTAAATATTCAAATTTAAAATTCTGGTATATCATTTAGGGTAAGACTTTTGGTCTTCCCTTCAGTAGCATTTTCAATTTACACATTTTTCAGGAGTCTAAATTATTTTTCATGTTTTAGAGATTCCTCTTTTGGCTTCAGTTTGTAATATTCCCACTAGAGGGCAGAAGACTGCAGACAGTGTAGACCTATTTGTAGAAAAAACGATTCACGAAGTAGAGTCCTGAAGATGAAATAGCCAAAGCACTCTTTAAAAAAGTAGTGATCTTTCCAAGGTTTGCTGGAATTTTTGACAAGAGTCAATGTATAAATATTTTTAAGCACGAGGGAATTGTACATTAATTGGTTTTAACCCAGGAGTTTGAAAATATTGACCATCAGCTGTCTAAAGAGAGCTTTTGTTACTTTTTTCTTGCAGAAAGTGATTGAAACATCATTTGAATAAGTAGCATGTCTAATCAAGTTTATACTTATTTGAGCATTGGAAACTTCATCCGCCAGCTAACCTCATTAATGAGTATGAAACACATTGGGTTAAGTGTTCCTGATTTATAAACACTAGCATAATTTTTCAAATACAGTATGTTTTGTCTGCATCCTCCTGAAAATCTGAAATTTAGAAAAAACAATGTATTTGAGTGAAGTATTGAAATAGTCAGGGAGGACGTGGGCCCTCTCTGGAAGGAGACTGGAAACCTGGTCACGAGGGATAAGGAGAAAACTGAGCTGCTCAATGACTTCTTTGCCTTAGTTTTCACTGGTAAGGGCTCTAACCACACTGCCTAAGTTGCTGATAGCAATGGTAAGATCTTGGAGAAAGTAATCTGCCTGCTGTAAGTCATGATGAGGATCAAGACCATCTAAAGAACTTGAAGGTGCACAAGTCCATGGAACCTGATGAGATCCATCCATGGGTTCTGAGCGAACTAGCGGATGAAGTTGCCAAGCAGCTATTCATCATATTTGAAAGGTCATGGAAGTCTGGTGAAGTTCCCACTGTTTGGAAAAAGGGAAACATAGCAGCCATTTTCAAGAAGGGAAAAAAAGAAGATCCAGGAAACTACAGGCCAGTCAGTCTCATCTCTGTGCCTGGAAAGATCATGGAGCAGACCCTCCTGAAGGCCCTACTAAGGCACATGGAAAAATAAAGATGAGGTGATTGGTGGTAACCAACTGGTAGGGTTAGTGAGACACTGGAACAGGATGCCCAGAGAGGTTGTGAATGCCCCTCTCTGGAAGCATTCAAGGCCAGGCTGGATGGGGCTGTGAGCAACCTGGTCTAGAGGGAGGTGTCCCTGCTTATAGCAGGGGTGTTGGAACTTGGTGACCTTAAAGGATAAAGAGAGAATAGTAACAGAGAAGTAGAGCCAGGCTGAGGAAACAACAATCTGTAGTCCTTCATTTCTAAACTGTGAATTAAGGCACAAGAGGCCCTCTTCCTAGATAAACTTCTACATAGAGGATAGTATTTCATTTTGAAGCAGGCAGCTATTTTTATTTACTACTAGAAAAGCTGTTTAGAAGGTTAACTGACATTAGCTACATTTTTTTGTCATTACATACCTAAATGTTAATAGTCATACTTTTTGAAAGTCGTATTTTACAAATTATGTGACCTGTTTGTAAATAATTGTACACTTCTCAACAGGGAGCTAACCTAACTTTCCAAAGTGTTGATCATAATCTTCCAAGAAGCATCAAGCAGAATCCAATTCTGACCCTTCGTGTAATAGGTATTGATGAAGCTGCTATGGATTTTCTAAAGTAAGTGCCACTGTTTTTCAAATTAGTTTTCCCTACTTAAGCAAAAAGTCTTTTTTATAAAAACATATAACTTCTTACTTATACTGTTAAAAAAAAAAAATCTGTATTTAGGAGAAATTACTAATAAGCATGAGAGGATATATGTAATTTATTTATGGAACGATAAGGAGTAATATAAAAAATGAAATTAGATATGAAGCTATGTTATTTGCTTTGAAGTTTTTTTCAATACAAAACCTTATGAACATTTTTCAATGTAATGAACTAATATACTGTGTTCAGAAGAAAAATAACTTTTTGTGATTAATGTTATAATTGAATATGCTGTGAGGCCTATATTAAAAGCTTATGTTAGTCATAATGATACAAGTGTTTGAACACAGTCAATGGAAGGACAGAAGGTTTCTCTGTCGTTTTTTTTTTCTTCTCATTTTTCTGTCTTTTTTCTTCTTCCAGATATTGCTACACATTGTAGACTGCAGGCACTGGGGCAACTCATTTGTTTTCTATAATGATCCCCGTGTTCTAACAGAATCTTTTATCACATGCTCTTTCCCTCAGACTCTTCAAGTGTGTATATTGCAAATCTGCTTTAGCCTTTTGGAGTAGAGAGGAATGCTCCTTTCTGCACCAGAGGGTGGTGCTTGCCTCACAGTAGCAATTCTGAATTACTGTTGAAGAATACAAATCCTGATAGCATTCTCTCTGCTACTATATCAAACACAGTCCATCAATTTTAGAACAGATGGCACAGGCTCATATCAGCAAATAATAATTTGATATTGTATGATACTGACTGTCTTAAGAATTAAAGTGTTAATTTTGCTACATTGCCTATTTCTCCCCTCCCTATTTCAAGTGCATGAGGTAACAGAAGGACTAATTTTTTACTACGTTATATCATTAACAGTATCTACGTGAGAAATCAAATTATGCCATATATTGTCTTTCCAGTCTCTTGTTATTTGTGTCTCGACTGGTCTGGTTTGCTATGGCGAAGAACTATGGAGAGAGAGGTTTTGTCTGGTCCCTAAATCATTGTAATCATGGTGTGTACAGTAAGCAGTCATTAAATGACACTTCTGATTTGAACATTTACTCAGATTTCCTGCAAACTTCATAATAATGAGAAATGAGTGATCTTAACATGTTTCATTAGAACACATGGCCTAGATATTTCCTCAGATTATCTGCACTTGATTTTTTTCCCCCTTTCCTGCTGAAATAGAACTTGATAATATCTGAGGATGGGCTGTGTCGTCTTTTGCATTTTCTCTCTTTTATGAACAGTGGGATGTAAGTATGATGAAAACACAACTCTAATACATTACATGGTAAAGCAGAAAAGCTTTTTTGGAGCAGAATTTCTACGCTTGCTCTTTCAAAATACGTTTCAGTAAATTACATTGACTATAGAGAATTTCATAGAACTTTTTCAGTTAATCCCCAAGTATGTATTATTTTTCACAGTCAGTACAGTTATCTCACTATCTGCAGAAGTAAACAGTCAAGGCAATGAACTGTCTTTCTCTGTGGTTTCTGGTTTTTATTGTGAATACACTGTTTCTTACCACAAAAAAAAAAAAAAAAAAGAAACAAAGTATGAAAATGTGTTGCCTGAATATGGAAGTTAATTAAGTTTGAAATACCATCAGTTTGATTATTCAAATTTTGGTGAGAAGTTTGTTCCTGTTGCCTCTTGTCCTGTCACTGGGCTGCATTGAGCAGATCCTGGCTCAGTTGTCTTTACTTTCTCCCATCAGATATTTGTACACACTGGTAAGATACCCCTGAGCCTTGCTTTCTCAAGTCCAACCAGTCTCAGATCACACAGCCTCTTGACTTGGAACAGCGATAACAAAGCCTCAATTAAATACATTCAGTATGTAAAGACTACTTTCATCAGAACAATTTAATTGACTATTATTTTTCTTTCTGAAACTGTTTAGATGCATGAAGCTTGTTCTCAGTTGCAGTAATTCACTTTAATATCTCTTTAACTGAAAGCTCTGCAAAGGGGCCATAGTGAGCTAACAGTCCACAGAACAGTATATTCAAACTTAATTGGTTGTAGAAAGGTATATCTGTATGATACTTACTGCTAATTGCTCCCTCTTTGCATTTTCATTAAATAATATAGTTAAATTTTGGATAGCTTAGGTAGTGTATTTTACATCTCAGAAGCATATCATTTTGGTAAATATTTGCTACTTTTCTACCTGTGAATTTGGAGTTGATCCAGTGTTATTTCTGAAGGCTCTCTCTTCAGGCTAAAATTTCATATTTTCTGCTACTTGTGATGGAACAAGTTGTTTCTTTCTTCTACATTCTCTCTAACTGAAGTGTTGTGGGTTGTTTTTTTTGTTTTTGTTTTGTTTTTTTTTTTCCAGATAATTGACTAAATTTCAGATTGTGAAATCAGTCTATTTTTTCTGAACAGTGTTTTTGAAGGGGATGATATTGAACTGTAACTTATTCTTCTCTGGCAGAATACTCTTTTACCCTCATTACTATATTTAGAGAGAATCCTCCTCAGATAGAGTCTTAGAGGAGTCTTGAAGGTCTATTGCAGATTTACAAGAGCAGCTATGTCCTGCTGTCACAAGTTATGAATCTTCTGTGTTTTAAGTTTATTTTAGAGTGTTATCCCCTGTAGGTGGCTGTTGATGGTAATGTACAGTTTAGGTGGTTTGATATGAACAAGTTCATAGGGACTTCATAATGGAAGGTACACAAACTGGAGAGAAGTAAATTCTTAACAGACAGGAGAGAAGTAATTCTTCCTCTGAAGGAAGAAGTACTCCTTCATGACAAGGCACTGGTGAACAAGCAGTTCTAAATTGGCAGTAGAGCTTTTGCATCTGCCTTCCTATTCTGATTAAAGTAGTTGCAGGAGTAGGAGTAGGTTTTCTTTTGTTTTGTTCATTTTCTTTGTGTAGATTATTTGCAACAGTATTTTTTCTATCAATCTTCGTAATGATTTCTGACTCGGGATTCTGGAGGGACCTTTTCAGAACACAGTCACTTGCCAGGAAAAAAAATACACAGTTTCACTATAATTCCTTGTTCATGCCTACAATGTACTTATCCAGCTTTAGATCTATACCCTTGCTATTGTTTGTACCCTCACCAGATGAACTTAGAAAACAAAATTCATTAACAATACTGAGTTTGCATTCATTTATTTTGTCAGACATACAGTTAGCATTGTGAATGAAAATATAAACAAAGTCAGAAACTCAGTCTTTGTTGCATCAAATTCAATGTCAAATATATGTAGCTAATCCTGCTTTCTACAGGAAAAGTTGCAAACCAGCGTGTTGTGGAATGATGCTTTCTTTTTTTGTGGAAAGCTGCTTGTCTTTCTCCTGTTTATTAGTGGTTGGCTTGTATTTGAAATGAGAAGGCTCATGCATTTCCCAATTAGGCTCTCAATAAAACCTGAAGTCCCTCCATTTAATCTCCAGTGCAAGAGAAAATTTCTGTGATTAACTGGCATTTATAGTCAGTTGTTAAGACTCCTATATGGTCTCTTCCTGTAAGTGGGCATAGTAAGGAGAAAAAAAAGCCCAGAACTGTGTAGTGTTAACATATCTGTCATTAATACGCCTCATTAGTGCTTGTTAATTACCTGGACATATTTCAAGATATTAATTTCTTTATTTGAGAGAGATTCTTTTTTTTTTTTTTTTTCCTGGAGGATTTATGATTATCTGTGCAATGTCCAAATAAATACACATCAAATCTTTGTATGTGTTTTCTGGGAGAAACTTTGGAAACAACTTTGCTGATGTTCCTTTAAAATGGCTGGTTAACACTGGAACAAATAGGAGAAACTATATGAGATTTTGTTACCCTGTTTATTCATCCTTTTAATGCTCAGCGCCTCATCTTTCTGAGTGTCATCAGATGTTAAAAGTAATTGGAATCTGCACAGACTATTTGTAACAATGAGGTTATTGAAAGAATAAGTTCATTCAGATCTTTGTCTCCAGTGTCTCCTAAGGTTACTAACAAAAAAGATACATGAGTGTAGAACACTTCTAGTTAATTCTTTTCTTGCCACTAGTTTGTTCTAGTCATTAAGTTTAAAGACTGTGAGGGAAACATTTTCCTTAAGAATATATGTGGAAAATACATGGGATGTTTTATAAACACATACAGGAATTTCCACCTCTTGAAATTTCTCTGAGCTACCTCACAACATTCTTTGGATGTGACTTCTATTCACAGTGTCCCATTCATTAGCTCTTCTTTTTCTTCTTTTTTCCTTAAGCACGTTTTTAGAAATCCATGATTCGTTTATCAGAATATTTTTAACCAATAATCAGCATATGAACATGTTTGCCTTCCTTAAGGTCTTCATGACAGAAAAATCCTCAGGTCCTCTAGTGTTATGCCAATCTAATGGCCATTCCTTTTCTGAACAGTGTCCCTCTTTCAGCTTGCAACATTTTCATATCTCCATATTTAGTGGATTTCTGGCCGTTGCTTTTTAGCCTGGAGAATGCACACTCACTGCAATTACAAGGTTTGTAGTTCTCTCTTACTGCTCTGAGGTGTCTTTGATGGACCATGTTCTCCTTGGTTCGGGACGTATCTGTCAATCAGTTGAATGAATACAGTCATACGGAACCACACTTGGTGACAGTGTGTGAAATATCTGAATACTGACACGGAAATTTTTAAGTAATTCTGTTCTTCTTATAAATCCATGATTTATAAATTAGCAGAGGAAATGCTAATGGAACATTGTCAGACAAGAATTTCTGTACATCTGCAACTATTCTGTGTGTGCTGCATCAAACTTGATCAGTTGATCACCATGCTGGTAAGGGCAGCTTAAGAATCAAATGTAAAGTTAAAAATGCGTTTCTACTACAGCTATTTTCCATCAAGTAATATTACATGTGATTTTAACCAACCAAAACAAATTTTGATTATTATAGAGATTCCTCCTTGAAATTCAACCAAGAATATTCTGAGCAATTGATTGATGACGGCAAAGTGTTCAAGAAAATTCAAGGTTTGTGTCTACCAGAACCCCCTTGATTTTAATTTCCATATCTCTAATATTGTTCAACACAAGGAACAGTGATGACAGTTCAAAGATTCTATTTGAATAAACAAAATTAAACAAGAGGTAGTTGTCAGAATATTATTGGAACCTAATATTGGAATAAACCTATCATAAGAATGCTTTCTACTCTCATTTTCCTTTAAATGGATGGTCTGCTTAATGATTTTGGAAAGAGTGTGGAATAATTGTGAATGTAATCAATATGATATTACTCTCTGTGATGACAAAATCTTTAAAATATGCTAAAGTGTAACACTAATTCTTTGTTAAACTGGCATTAAATTAAAAAAGTACTGATGAAATGTAAAAACACGTTCTCATTTCATCAGTTAATTCTATGCTCAGTAGTTCTTCGACCATTATTTCTACACATTGAGAAGTTGTTTTTTCATACTCTTTTAACAGTGATCATACTAAATATGTGAATACAATTTCGTATCTAGAATATGCAATTGAATTTTACCAGGTTCCTACCTGTCTTATTTTGGACAAGGACACAGCGTTGTGTTTAAAGCTGTGACAAGATGAGCATCTTACTGTGCTCTTGCTGTGTAACTGGTAGTCAACATAAACAGTTCAATTGTAGACTCGAGTCCACATTTCATGAGTCAAACCTGTTTTCAGCAGGTGCTCCTCAGTCACTGCAATCTTCTTGGTCATTTACTTTTAGAAAAATAGTTGAAATAATGAGGAGGGTTTTTGATCTTCTAGTTCTGCCTTTTTTTTTTTTTTTTTTCTTCCTAGCATAATGCACACAAATTGATTTCTCAATTATCTGAATATGTCTAAAGTTTGCTGCTGTGGCCTGGAAGAAGGCAAGACATATTTTCATGTACTTGTTTCGTTAGTGTAAAAAATGTATTCCTCTCTCCTCCATTTTGCTTTTGAAGAGTAGGTGCCAGTGAAAATGTAGTGAGATAATAGATGGCTTCTGTTATGGTATGCTGAGAAACTCAGACATTCCTGAAGTAAAACAGATGTTGATAACGCTGTCATTGTTACCATAGAAATTTTGGAATGATTTTGCAGACTTACTAATAGTTGTTTCTGGTTGCACATGTATTAGCATGTTTGTAGGCAGAGGAGGCACTCTGTATTCATTAATGGAACATTTGTTTTTACCAAAGAGCAGCATTACTAAGATGGATTGGCCGTTTTAACCTGCAGCATCACATGTTGTGGTTATGTTTACTTTTATAACAGCTCTGTAACTTGTGGTCAACTTTGGCTGAATATTGTACTCTTTTCTTTCTGTAAATCCTCAGGTATGCTCAGAGAGACATTAAGTAAAAGAGGAGTTAGAGTTGTAACAGGCTTAGGAAAGTATTTCCGACACATAGACAAGAATGGAAATGGTTTTCTTTCTCAGGCAGACTTTAAAGAAGCTCTAAAACGATTCCATTTGGAAGTGCCTGAACAGGTAAGTCTAACTGAAATTGTAATAATGGACAGTATCTCACTTTAATTTACCGAAATGCTTCTTTTCTTTGCTTAAATCTATAGTTTAATATGGTTTAATTTTTGCAAGGCTTGTTTTTTTCTGGTGCTGCATTGGCATTTCTGCATTCAGTCCCTTATTACTTATTCTGAAATAAGTAAAAAGAAAATAAAGAGCTGTCTTTCTGAGGGATGAGTGGCATTGCAATTATTTTTCTTTTGGGGCCTTTTGCAGTTATTGTATATGATGCCATTTACTTATCAGTCTTCCTTTTAAATATTATTTTACAAAAACAATACACAACTATCAAAACTGCAAATAATGTGAATGATGGCTGTCAGTGACTGATGATAATTTGAATTATTTTGATGAATCTTCAAGTCAGTTTGGATTGGGCCATTCTTCTTTGTGAAGTTTGCACTGTAGCAATTGCTTTATTTCAGGACGTCGTGAAAAGCTTTGGCAAAATATTTTTAAATTACAGGACTTTGAATCCTTATGGCTTCTTCTTGATGATAGCAAGAGTGATAAAGTCGACTATGGAGAATTTATTCATGCTATAGCTGGAGAAATGAATGAATATCGGAAAGCATTTGTGAGAAAAGTAAGTTTCACTGCACTGTAATTGTAGATATTTTGCAGTCTAACTTTGGAGTTGGTTATTTATTTGAATATTTTTCCTTACATTTTGTTCCCGGTAATTGTCTTTTTAAACTGTCAAATGAGTGAATTAAAATTAATGTAAATTAGAAGACTGATGCTTTCCACTGTTGAATGAAATTTAGTTTTGAACTCTGCCACCGAGAATCAAATATTTTGTTATTTTGAGGTTGAGTATGTAGCATTATTCTTACAGTTCACTCCAGTGTGTAAAGCATCTGGCACTCCGAAGTGGTATCTTCCAGAAGTCTGTTTCTGTATTTTGGCAGATCGCTCTGTCTGTGATCTGTATATACTGTGTGCTTATTTTTTCCTCCAATGTCTGAAATAGGGGCAATAATACTTGCCTTCTTTGAAAAGTACAGTTAGAAGCGTTAAGTTAGTGAGAGTTTTTTATATTGGAAATGTCATTTGTTAAATGTGTATCTAGAAATTGGAAAGACAAACTGTAGTGCCAGTATATTGTGGAACCATTTCCAGTATGAAACACTGATTGCAAATCAGCCACTATTGTAGGGATGGAATATCATAACAATCAAGAACTATGACACATACTTTTATACTTTTAATTATGAAGGATCTGACTCTCCTGGCCATGTTTATTGAGTGTGTGTATTAAAAGTAAACTGTTGGAACGAGAGTGAAGCTGCTGTAAGCAGTGCTGAAGAAGCCTCTATTGGAACAACATTGGAATCATACTAATTGGAGGAGGCAGAAAGGAAGCATCTTGACTGCGGATGCCAAGGATGTGCTAGAAATTTTGGAGAGAATACAATTTTTTTTTGAGTTTGTGAGGGACAGAATTTAATGTGAAAGTTGTTGAAATAAAATGATTGCAAAATTCCGCAACGTAGAATCTTTTACTGGCATCCAAGTGTCAGTGATGGAAGACTCAGTTTACTTATGTTAAATGGTTATGTCAGAATAATTAATTGCAAAAGATCTAAAAATACTAAGTATGTGAATATATTTGATATTTAAGTATTTCCTTTTTTTTTTTTTTTTTTTTTTTTTAATTTTACCTTGTTTAGGCTTATATGAAACTAGATTTCAACAAAACTGGAAGTGTTCCTATGGTAGACATCAGAAAATGTTACTGTGCAAAGAAACATCCTCTAGTGTTGGCAGGTAATTAATATGAACGCAAAGAATGTATCTGTAATTAATGAATTCACCATGTTAGCAGAGAAAACAGATTCAGAGACTGCTGCAAATATTAACTGTTTTTGTGTTGGCCTAGACTTCAGCTGTTGACAAGAACTTTTCTCTTCTGATTACCCATAACGTGAAACAGGACTGTAAATAGTATATAGATAGTATTGCAGTTCATCTACATAATTTTACTACTTTTATCACGCTGTGAATACTTCAGATATGCAGGCTTGGTTCCTTTCCTTACCTGTGTAGGACTATATTTAAGTAGTTGTATCTTAGCTCTTGTGTGCAAGTACTCACTGACATACATAGTATCAGCAGTTTTAAATTAGGAGGACGCTCTCCCTTTTATGTTACTGTTCTCTCTCAGTATACATAAGGTTTCCAAGTGACACGATTTTCTCATCACTTGAAGTTCCTTCTGAATAAATTATTCATTTATTTCTGCTCATGGTTGTTCCTCTTTACTGAGGAAATGTTTGAGAATTCTGAAAAAATAATGAAGATAGCAGCGTGTTTAAACTCTTGCTGCTAAAAAAAATAAATAAATAGGAGTTTAAATCTTTGTAGGTTTCAGTTTCTAAAATAACATCTCCAATGCTCCAATGTATCAAACTCATTACTGTGAGAGTCTCCTTGATGTCTTGACCCCTTCTATTTTACCTATAGAAAAGAGGATGTTTTTTGTTTTGCCAGCAACCTCAATAGTTGAGGTGTCATGATGACACACTGTGGCTTAAGGATGATGGACGTGCAGTTGTTTTCTGTGCTGTAATGTTTCTCCAGTTTTTTCCTTAGTGCAGTAAAAGCTATCCGAGTATAATCTTTATTAAGTCACAAAAAAGCACTTGTCAATTCCTGAATGTTTTTGAATGAAAGTCATATCTTAATGTGTTCCTAGAGCTTTGAGCTTCTTTTACATTAAATGCATGTTTTGTTACAAGTTTACCTCTGAATTACCAACATTTTAATTAAAGAATACATTGTTCAGTTTTCTCAGTCATTTGAGGAAAAATCTTTCTGATCTCATAATCCATTGAAACTGACTTTGGCCTCATGTTCCATTTCTATTTAATGCTATCATTTGCTGTCAAAGTAAGGTAAATACCACAGCTGATACCAAGTGAGCAAATGACTTCATTACCCCCTGTGAAGTCAGAATATTGAATTTGTTCAAGAAAAATATTTGCAAACTAAATTTTAAGTTTCGTTTCCTAAAATAGACTAAAAGCTGTATATTCACTGATCTTAGAAATGTATTTGATGGAAAAAATAAACTTTCACAGGCAAAGCTACAGAAGAAGAAATAAAATTGTCATTTCTAGAGACATTGGGAGAATCCTGCAGCAATCCTGAAGAAGTGTCCTATTCTGAGTTTGAAGATTACTATGAAGGATTAAGTATTGGAATCACAGATGATGATGATTTTGTTAACATCTTAAGGAACCCTTGGGGAATTTAGAGTGGAATAAGACAAAAATGAAGGAGAGACTCCTCCTAAACGAGAAGAGAGCTACATAAGGGAGGATTCGATCATGATGTGCATTGCTTAATAATTATTGCTTTATATTGATTTCAAGGACTGAACATTTTAGATGCTTTCAGAATCATACAAGACATGGTAAGTTTCTTAAAGTGCCTGTTGAGCAGAGATGACCACTGTTTTAATATAAATGCTCTTTATGCACTTTCATGGCCTGTTCCCCATAGCAGAAGGCATCATTTAGTGGATGTTTGAATAAAGAGACTTATTTTAAAAGTAAGTGAGAATAGAATACTAAAATGTATGTATGAGTAATGCAAGAAAAAAAAAACAGTTTTATGATTGTTGAAAACTTCAGATTTGACAGTGTAGACATGTGATATCTTTTTTTTAGTTTTATTTTATAAAAATAGTATAATTGCTCTTAAAACATTATTTGCTTTGTTTCTCCTTTACTGTGTTGGTGATCACCCTGGAAAAGGGCAGGCCATCCTCATCCAATTTGGAGGATGTCTGCAGCACTGAAAATGCTGAGAAGATCACACAAATTAGTCTTGAAACCAGTACCCAGATCATCTCTACTGATATTATTTTTTCATCTTGGTCAGGCATCTGAAGCTGAATGTTGAATACCAAGGGCTTAATAAGCACAAGTATATTTTGCTAAATTATGTTCAAATCACATTTGTATGTAAATACCTGACATCTATACTTAGAATTGCTGAGACTTTTTTTTTTAAAATTAAGCAATTATATCCTTTGTCAGACTGATATGCAGAATTTCATGTCTAATTTAAAAGTATAGACCAGAAAAATCTATATTTAATGAGCACTGTTGCACCAAAAACTAAATTCTGAATTAAAATATTTCTTACTACTTCAGATATTCAGCCAGGTAAGCTTTTCTGTGTAATACATCTTTTTAATTCTGTAAAGTTAATTGTGTGAAGTAATAAAAAATGTGTTCTTAATAAAATATATATGTATGTATTGATACCTTTGGTTTCTATGTACCTCTCACCAAAATTAACAGTGTGTTGAACTGCATTTCTTAAGTTTATGCAATTACAGTCTATTCCTTTTCCCCTTGCTTGTCTGACCAGTTTTGAATTTATAGCTTGGGGTTCAGAGGACCTCCCCCTGAAACAGAATTTGTGTTCTGCAGAAATTTAAGGGCAGTGCTGAAATGAATGCTAAAATGAGGGTCTTGAGACCCTCTGTGTCCAACTGGTTTGTTCTAGATATAGCATTTTTGTGTTCTAATTACTTTTGTTTTTGTTATCATCTGAATATTTGTAGCCTGACCTCTCTTGTAATTAGAATTGCAGTTTCTGCTCTAAACCTTCAAATGAAGGATTTTTTTTTTTTTTTTTTTTTTCCAGTTCTTTTGAGGCTGCAGATGTCTGCATTGGTTTATATAACAAAGCAAAATTCTGTTAATGCTTATTCTAAGAAGAGTTCTGATGTGGCTCATTACAATCTTTTTATTCCCCATTCCTGCCGAAATTTCTCTTGCTGGTAAGGTTTTGTCAGTTGGTCGTGGAACTGGTGATTCTGAAATGCTCAGCACAAACTGTACAGGTCATATGTGCTGCAAATTAAGTGCTTTTTAAAATTTTGTTCTTAGCACAAAAATTAGGTGAATGATGTACATGAATGATATTTCTATAATTTTTGTAGTAATGCTTCTTCGTCTGAAGTCAGAATTTTAATTGGTTAATCTACAATAAACTCTAAAGGTCAAAAATTGCCTAAAAAATGTAAGTATGTAGTTTGGTAATTCTGAAAAGCCTGCTTGGTATTTCATTTCTATTAACTTCAAGGTCAGTTACACATCAGTGGCTGCCTCTAAACATCAGCTATGATGTCTCTGAATTTTTAATGGAGTTCACAAAAGCTCCTTTTTTATAAAGTCATTTTCCATTTGCCTGCTGTTATTTGTTCTGTCAGCTTAAGAAAGTGGCAAAGAACTGACACAAACGTCTATGCAAATCTGGCACACCATGCTCATAGTTACCAGTAAAACCAGAAGGACTGAAACTGTATTCAAACCAAGGTTTGTGACTTTTTATTCTTTTTATTTTCTGTATTGGAAGCAAGTATCCATCGATGCTGGAGATCTTAGTTTGTACTGTTCCTCTTTGGAAATCAAATAGCAAAGAAAGACAGGGCAGCAACGCGATTCTGTAAACCCCAACAGGTTTTCTTTTTCTCTGAGTATCTAATAAGTTCGTTTGTTCATTTGAAAGGGCTTGACGTCCGCTTCTATGGTTGAATTATTCAGGACTGAGAATAACCAACCGTTGTGATCTGTATTTCTGTGTTCCAGTGTTCAGAAAAGCTGTCAAAAGACGTTCTTAGTAACGGCAGTCTCAGTGCTCTGCTTAATTGTGTTCTGATTTGTTCTTCTTTAATTGTGAATCATTTGATGAACCCAAAGCCTTTTCTTTGGTCAACGCTTTGTAACTTTAACACTTTTGGGATATATCTGCTGGGGCTTAATGCCTCTAAATGTGTTTTAACAAAACTCTTCTCTGTAATTCAAGCCTTAGTATCTCAGAGTTGCTTATGTTTTCTGAATTAGAATGTGTTTTTAAACATGGTGTTCTCAGTTACAGAACTGGCTTCTTTCCTTAAAATTAATAAAAACTAGTGGTCTTAATGACAGCGTAATTTAAATTTATGCTAAGAAGTTTTAGCAGTCTGATGTAATTGAGAATAGGAGAAGTCCATTGAGCTGTGAGCATGTTTTCTCCTAAGAAATGTGTGCACTTTCAGAAGACAAGTGAAAATTAATGAAGTGATGTAACTCCTCAATCTTAAAGTCTGAGGCCACTTTGTCAAACAAATGTGCACTGGTAATACTGGCTGGAATGTTTAAGGACATTTTAAGAAGCAAAATACAAGTACCAGTACAAATAATCAGGAATTTTTCTTTTGTCAGTTAATGGAAATGTAGCATCCTCACCTGGGATAGCTCTGGTGGTAAGATAAGGTGTTCTGACTGATCTACACACACAGACTTATTTTTCTTCCTTAAGAGCCACTGCCAGATGATCAAATTCTGTTCTCCTTCAGGGACAGCATCCCTGCTAAAACGTGTGCATTGAGGTACTCTTTAGTTTGTGTCTGGTTTTGAACAGGCTATCTCTAATGTAAAACAGAAAGCCTAGAGTTGATTTCTTCTGTGCTGGCCCATACAAAAGCATAACAGGTAAGCTTCTGTGGAAGAAAAGGAGCTGGTACAAAATAGCATATTTTTTTTCTGCATATATAACATCTAATAATCTATCTTTCCTCTCCTTTATAGTCATGAATTGGAGACTGAGCCAACTGAACTGGGCTTTCATGTTGTTATCCCTGTCTATTGGAAGCTGAGTCAGGTGGACTGTGCTTTGTAATCCTGAGGTATCACCAGTGATGACAGAGGAACCTAGTATTTCCTCCCAGACCCAAATAGGCTGGTTTTTTTTTCCCCACAGGAGTTTTTTTAATATATATATATGCACACACACACACACACTTTTTCCAAAAGTAATAGCTCCTATTTATTTCCAGGGAAATTACAACAGGTACAAAGAACACAGTAATACCATTTGATAGAGCAAATTCTCAGGTGCAAAACAATATTTTTCAAAACCATTAGCTATGCATTTTTACTAGCAGTGAACAAGAGGCTGCATGTAAACATTGGCACCAGCGCAGGTGACTCACTGTTACCACTGCTGAAATGCATCACCCACTGCTTCATGGTGATCACAGCCTCTGGTTGGTCTCCATCAACATCCAGAAAGCATCAGTGAATGTCAGTAGGTGCATTTTTTTCTGCATGGAGGAATTCAGTGACACACTTTTGCTTCATGTGTACTTCAGCGTCAGACACCGTTGTGTCAGACTGCCCCTCTGTTGCCATCTGTCACACAGCAACAAAGTGTAATGGGACATTGGTGGAAAGGTTCACCCTCTGTGGCCATACCAACAACATCTGCCTCTGATGTCAGGGGTCAAAATAATAAAATAAGAGGCACTGCTTTTCAAACATCCCTTGTAATGCCCCAGCATTACCTTGCTGCTGGCTCCTGGGCGGCTTTTGGGATGGAAATGACTTACACACATCTAAATTTTTGTCTTTGCCACCAGAACAAGAAAGCTGACCTTATGGCAAATCTACTGATTTTTTTTTTTTTTTTTTTTTTAGCTTTTGAAAACATCAAGCAGTTATGGTCTGGCTGCAAGCAAGTATAATGGAGAGGGTAGAGAGTGAAAGGAAATGAACTAAAGCGAATACATAAAAAGAAAAAAAAGCAAAAGACATCAAATGGTAGTACTTTTAGGGGCAGTAGGGGAGATGAAACAGTAGGAAGGCAGCAGGGATTTGCCTTGATGGAAGCTGGGAGCGAAACTCAGTAGAAACTGATTAATTCAGATTCCAAATGTCTCTGTTACAAGGGTACCTCTCAGTGTCAAGGGTACTTCTGGTGTCTGGTTTTTTGTTTTTTGTTTTTAATCAATCCTGTCTCCTATTGATAACTCCATGTCTGTTCTTACTTTGAGGTTTGGCCAAAGCCTTCACAAAACTCGCTTTGGTAGGAGAATGCTGTGGGGGAAGCCTGCTTTGCCTTGCTTTACATTTTATGTGGGGAAACCCTGGGCCATTATAGGAATGTGCATGTTAAAATCAGTGGAAACTAAAATAGCAGCTTCAGTGATCTATCTTAAGCACTACTCCCTTTTCTTACAACCTGTGTTAAGTAAGTGCACAATTAATGACTTCTATGACTAATTCTTAGATCCTGTGATTTGTCTTGGCATGAATTAGATCCTGTACTCATGCTGGTAAAATTACTCCCCTGAAGTCACTTCCTCTGACGGTAGAATTCGCCTTGCAGATGTTAGTCATTAAGCATGAGCTTCATCTATGAGGATTGCATTTATTTTCATGCAGTAGATGTTTCTGAATTGTCCTTTTTTCAGCATTTCGAGACCAAATAAACACCAACGGAGGTCAAACTGTTGCTGGAACTTGTCTCTTTTTAATTTATTTTTTTGAAAGCAGCATTTTGGAAGTGCCTGATATGACAACTAAGTGTAGTCCAAATTATAATATTCTGCTTTTTGTGGATTTAATGTGCTTCCAGGCATTATTGTTGTATAGTTTCAAGTCACCATAGGGAAGTAGACTGTTGAAATTGCCAATTCCTAGTATCTGTCCTGATGGGAAATGTTGAGAAGCATCAAGCAAAAATCATAATGGTAAATGTCAATTAGTAATACAAAACAATAAAAATGTAGGGGGAGGGTTGTGACATGCCTCTGTGCTCTTAGAAGTGGATTATGCCATTTCTGTTCTGTGAAACTGAATGTGCTTGTGACAAAACAGGGTGCAGTGATGCTCCTCCCTGAGGAGAGCCCATGGACTATCATTGTCCATCTGTGTTCGTGACCGCATTCTGCACAAGGAAGGGGCCAGGTGACTGTAGGATGGAAGGTGACCAAAGAACCTCCAAAGCAATTTTCTAAATTAATGCTAAATGCCAAAGTCAAAGAGTTATTAAAAACTGTAAATGAGTCTTAATTGTGATTCTGGTAGATTTTAAAATGGAGCAGCCCTTTCTGGAGTGTGGTTGGCAGTCTTTCAGTCACAGCATTGGAGGGGCTTAAAGTTACACTTGGGATGGCAGGCTGCTCCTGGGCAACTCTCTTTGCTTTTAGGCTTCTACCATAATTCTTTAGATGAGGAAGAATTTTTCTGTGCTGGGTCAGTCACTATTTCATTAGTGTGTTTTCTAGCTTTTAAGCCTGGAGCTACAGAGCTGGGCAAAGCAGTTCCCTCAGGATGCAGTCCTTGCCTCAGGAAATGTAACATCTGTGTTGGAAAAGAGCAGAGGGAGAGAGCGGTAGAAGGGAATATTATGTTAATGATACAAGCAGCTGCAGTGTAATGTAAGCACAGGCGTCTCAGCTTGCTGCTTGCTTAACAAATATCAATGATGATAATTTGTAGAAAGAAAAGATAATTTAAAAGTCAGAGTAAATCTTCTCTGCATAGATTAGCAGGAACACTAGACGAGAGTAACCCTAAGAAGGCAGGATTTCAAAACAGGATGATTTTTGTTGTTTAAGCAACTCTCAAAGAGATCATCCTTAGAATTCACTCATGTTTTCAGAAAGACACTTTGAATATCCCATGTGAGGTTTCTGACTGCAGAGTTTAAAAAAACGAATTATTATGGGATACGGGAGTACTCCCATTTTTGACAGTAAGCATTTACTCGTAAATATAATAGGAAAGATTC